GCGAGCCGAGAAAATAGAGTACACGAAATACCCTTGACGCGAAACGAGGAGCAGCTCGTATCTTTGTAACGAGCCCGCGTAATCGCGCAATGCCACAATGCAGCTAATTATCTGCATTAATGCTGGCGAGAGCTATGAATATTCATACTTGACATCTTTATCGGCGAACACCGGGGAAATTGGAGTTGTTATACGCGGGCCTGCCTTTTTGACCCACCTTTCCCACCCGAATCGATATGTTAAGGAAATTAAAAGCTCGCTTGCTCGCTCCCCCTCGTGCAGATACATGTATCTTCAATTTTGCTCGAATCTATGTAGAATACGCGACGGGTCGTGATTCCTGGTATACGGTGTATTCACGAAAGTATTCAAACCATAGAAGGACAAAGTTACAAGAAACCTTGGGAAATTACAAGGCTCGTTTAAACAATGGTACGTAGGAATTAAAGCTGTGTAATTTTACTTAACATTTCCATAAGTTATATTTTTCAACAGTGAGACACGACTGATTCGTGATTGCAATGGCAAAATTTGAAAACACTATACACTTTCCACTTGTTTCGAGGGGCAAAATTTCCCTGATTTCAATCGTATCGTGAATTCAATCCTACAGCGTACGAGATATAACTTTAGGTACGTAAATCTCAGATACGACGACCCGGCTGAAGAAACCGACCGAGAGAAAGAGAGAAGCTTCCTTCGAGCTCGAATAAGACGGCTGCCCTCGTGGCAAAACGACTTACTTGTTTACCGAGTAATTAGATATTCTTGCTAGCCGGGGGGGCACTTTGACACGGATTCGCGTGCGTCTAATGGTACGAGAAAAAAACCTCTTCGCTGCTCGACTAGCCTATCCAGTACTCTTAAGAGCCGTGTTACCTCAAAATGTTCTCTTCGGGTAAACGCGAGCGGCTGCCAAAGGAGAGAAGACGAATTTCATCAAGAGAAAGTCTCTATCTCGGCTGTGGTGAGAAGGTAGTAAAGTACTCTATTTAAAGTACAGAGAAACTTCGTTTATTTGAACTTATCAGGGAACAAATAGTAAAATATTCGTAAAGATACGATAAGAGTCCATTGATTCTCTCCACTATATTGATTGACTTCCCTTATTCGTGTATTAGAAATCCATGCTTAAATAAGCGGGCTCAACTGATGAAAAATTTCAAATGAAATGAAATTCATATAAACGAAGGCCTCCTGTAATTTAGATGGCCTCCAAATACTTTTACATAAAAAAGTATTTATCAAACGCATGAATTCTATTTAATTATTCCATTAAATTTGACTATTGTATTCTAAACCGAAAAGGATTGCTCGACAATCAAGATAAATTTGTCACGCTCTTCATATGCGATTGCGTTGTGCTGTTTCTCAAAATTTCCGCGATCAATTTGAACGTTGAAGTAGACGAAAACTATACACGTCGAACGCCACGGGGCACAAAGGGCGAAGCAGCACGTTGCAGCGAATAACGCAAATAAACTCGTCTCGTTTCATCGAAACATCGCAAAGGGTCCGGAGAGGCTCGCTTGCTGCCTCGTTCATAAAGAAAACGCTCGAAGGTTGTCTGTTCTAAATCTGAGACGGGATGTGGCAGCGACCGGGCCACACGACTCGTTTGCATTTTCGCTACTGCAGAATTCTTTCGCTGCGAAACGAAACGCCTGTTGCGCGCAACAGCCACTCTCACCGCCGCGTACGTTCGACGAATCCGCGCGCAACCCTCCAACAGATCCTCCCGTATTGCGGCCAGCTGAATTTTATCGCGTGCCAAACAAAATGCGAGAGCGCACGCCCTAATATACGATATCTGATTCCACCTACTTTTCTGTCGTTTCTTATCGTCCTCCCCCCTCTCCTACAACTCCCCTCCCCTCCCCACCATATAAACCACCAGGTTGCCAGGTTACTTTTGCACGCTAATTGTCTACGTCTAGAGCTTTTTCTTTCTTTTCTTTTCTTTTCCTTTGCCTGTAGTCTTGCTTTCGGGCGACGTAGCTAGGAACATTTCAAGCGCGGAACTCGTTCCCACATGCAATGCGGTTAAGTTCGCCTTAGAAACGGCGGGTGGTTCAAATCGTACAGTACTGTTGTTGCTCGACACCTTCGCGATTGGCTACCGTTTAACGATGCAGATATAGATAAAGATTACTAGCAGACCCCGAGGGTATTAACAGACAGAATCGACGAATAGAATTCGCTATCGCGGCGTGGTATTTTGTTAACACGAGTCGTGATATTAATATCGATGTTCGTTGTTAGCCGATTACAACGTAATTGCTAATTCCGCTTGTTGCTTATGAGCAGTAAGAAAAGTCGAGCGATGCAAAGCGAATTGCAAAGCAGGAAAATTACTTACTAAAAAAAAAA